TCAAAGGTATTTGTGTCAGGTGGAGTTCCTCCAGTTGTGCCAGCTGTGAATTCAAATGTCCCACTTCCTGTTCAAGATTGACCTCTTTATCACCTTTCTTCCTTTCTACTGGGAATCTTTACAGCCACCTTAAATAAAAAGACAGGGGAAAAAAAAAGGATGATGAATCTGTTGTTGCTCTGAGTTTCTCCTTGGAAATTGGAAGACATAAACTTGACCTGAATAGAGTTTGGACCGTACTGATTAATGCAGACTTTGAAAAGAAATAGATTTGTTTTTGTTCAGGTCGATATTCAACAGAAATGCAAGGAAATGAAATATGTAGGCCTAAAGTGACTTAATTCTTGATTATTCTGGAAAATTGAGAATAGTCAGAAAGATGTTATCAGCATTTAATTTCTCTTTTGTAACTTTTATATCATGGATAGATGAAGTGGCTTTAGTTTTATCTTTGACCCCACATGTATTTTGTCTCTTTTGTTAAACCTGATTGCCACGTAAAGCAGCTTACTATGCTACGTTTGTATTGTAGGTAAGGATGTATTGGGAGCTGTTTGTTAGCAAGTTAAAGGTCATATGCTGTGGTAATGAAAGAGAACTTCCTAATCCATCCAGCAAAGTATTTATGACTGCAAGTTTAGAAAATTTCAGCTGCTGAAACTCTAACCATAATGGTATGTCATACATGTCATACAATGTACGTCACTTTGATTACTGTGTAGTGTCAATATTTGTTGGTACTGAGAAGACAATAATTGCTGTGAAAACATTTACATGTAGGTATGAAGAACCAGTAGGCATTAGGTCACTATTAAACTTGACAGTATGATACTACAAAGTCAAGTCATCTAAACAAATAATAATGATAAAAATATAACAAATAATTGATAATATTAAGTGAATAAAATCAAATAATCACTTGACACTGATTTAGTATACATAACGGCTGACTGTTTAACAATTGTCTTAAATACAGAAAAGAGGGTTATGGGAAGATAGCGACTTTGAGACTGATAAAATAAAGCCCTGCATAAAGTTTGCTTTGCGAATGACATACTCTGCATGGTTTAATATGCCATGTTAGCTTATTATTTAAGATAATGCCAATATATTTATACTCTGTGAATACTATACTGTAGGCATAAATTAGACAAAATAAATAGATAGATAAACTTTGTTATTGTATAGAGTCTTTGAATTATTTTTTTCCTTTCATATCGTCATGATTATGTTTCTACTATGAAAGAAATATATATAATATCAATCAAACATTAAAAGGAAATAGCATTTCATATCTTATGACTATGTGTCCATTATGGAGGAATATTTATACTATCAATTATATAGGAAAAAGCATTGAGCAGAGACATACGACCATGCTGTGAGTATGAAGCTAGCAATGCATAGTTTTATAATGTATGTACATGTATGTGTAATTGTATGCATACTAGAATAGAGGTTGGCTCTACTTGATTTCAGCTCATTAATCATATTGGGGCAATATTCTGTCTGATGCCTGCCTTCTTTGATTAACAATCCATGCTGCATAACTAATGTGTATTCCAGGAAGGAACCACTAAAAGACTGCCCGCATCCCATGCACTCCCTTCCTATACACACCTCTTACATTGATGGTGACTCGTCTTCATATTATTAATGAGCAGTACTCCGGACTGGTTTTGATATCAATTTTGCTTTGACCGCTGAGCACTGCTACGTACTGCTGAGAGGTAGAGACGCTTCTGAAGTCCTTTTCCATGATAAACTCATTTCCGGAGGCCCTTTGGCTAGGCTGTTTATCATGGCAGACTTTCCATACCTGTATCTGCTCAATTCACATGAATAGCCATGCTCTGTGGTATGACTATCCCATTCCAGAAGTGCTACAGGGCACATGACATACTAAGGGAAATATGAGAATGGTTTCATCAACCTTTTATGTTATACATGTATATATTTATATTTATAGATTCTGTGATAAATTAACACTCTTGTTGGATTTTCTATGTTTAGAAGAGATATCTATCCTAAGGACTTTTTCTCCCAAATTGAAAACATTCATCGATACCAGTATCAACTTCATTCTTGTGTATAGTCTAATTTTTTAAGACATGAGATAATCTAACAGCACTTTTTCCAAGAGTTTGGTTAGGATTCTATAAACCTTGCAGTGTTCAATATAATTTTCTTTCAAAGTGACAATTTTGATTATAAACTACATGTAGAACTGCAATCATATTAGAACAATATGCATTGATGCCTGTATGATTTACGTCTCAGATGAAAGAGCATCTCTTGGGCTATCTAGAGCAATTGCTTAGAAATCTGTAGTATCTAGAATCAGTGGAGATATGACATAGTGGTAGAAAGAAAGGCATGAAAACGGACCTGAAATTTGCAAAATGGCACCTGGACGGTGATGCATTAGGGATTTCAGAAAACGGAGAGTTCAGTGCACACAATGAGATGCTAAAGGAATATGCTTACACAATTTGAAAGGCATCAGGAATAACAAGAGCTGCATGCAAAACGAATGGGATTATCTAAAAGATCAAGAAGAAGTATTCAGAACGTGATTGAAAACAAGCCATTGATGGAGGACGTCATGTAATTAAGTGACAAGTTAATGAATGAATAAAGTTATAATATAGAGCAGATATGGCCCAAGTTTAGCCTTATGAAAGGAAAACAAATACCAGGAACCTGATTAACAAGGAAAGGAATTTGCATGAAGATGAAAAGGAAGATTGTCTTTTGAGAAAAGGTTGAGAATAACAGGACTACTTTTTAAAAGTCTGTTTGTAAAATCTACCATTCTAAAGTATACAGGAGTGTAATTGGGTGTAGACAATGTAGTTTTTTATGGCATAGTGTATTATGGGTTAATTACATCCCAAACAAATAGGATGTGGATCATAATACTGGGTAGGTAAACAATTATGTCAAACAATAATTAGATAGCTTAGATTTCATTGGGCCCTCCAAGGTTTGTGAGTTCTAGGGAAAATTAGTCAGCGAAAAGCCCACGCCGGCTAGCTCTGCCCGACCGTCCATGCATTCTTCATGGAAGACATGGGCAGATCTGATTATTTTCTTCTTCACGACTCTTTCATCATGATGGAAAGAGATGGATGCCGGCAATGGAGGATTTGATGGTGAAGGTTAATTAAGCATGCTGCCCATGTCTGCACGCAGTCCTCTCTGCAGCACAATCCAACCCTCCGTAATTGGTTAGCTAACCATCTGACGCCTCCTGTTCCAAGAAAAAAAAGCTCTAAGTATACACCGATGTAGGGAGAGACGTAAAAGGGGTTGGCTCACATCATGGGAATGGATGGAAATTCCCTCAGCGCTCGTTTCAGGAGAGCTGTGACGTATGCTTCTCCAGAGTCTCTTCCACGAACTTGACCGCCAATCGAACTTGCCATATTCAGAAAAAGTTCCATGTTATATTTTTCTTTTCAAGCAATATTGCACTGACGCAGCTAGACCAGTCAAGCTGAAGGAGAGAAAGATACTCAAGAATTCATATTTTTTAGGGTAAGATGAGAGGAATGACGCTTGCCGTCTATTTCCTGAATATAAATTTGGCAAGGAGATGACGTAAAGTGGGACATGTGCTGTAGATAGGAATGGAATATGGAATATTACAGGTAACATACATACTAGATATTCTAATGATTGTCTTTTCATGCGGTTTCTTTTAAAAGCATTTTTTCCATGAATGCTTGGAACTTTTGAGGTCTAAACATAATTGTCTCTTTCAAAGAATAATTGTTTGATTATACAGGTGTATAATTTGGATTATTCTAAGCCTACGCGGTTACTTTTTATTCTTCTTCAAAAATAATAAGCGAGGTGATATTTTGCAAGTATAATTCTAATATACCGGTACCTGCTCTTTATGTCCAAAATAGATTGTTAAGGGAAGATATTTATTGTATCCTGTACTGAAATTTTTAGTTTAATGTAGTATTGTAAATTTGAAATAGTTGTAATGATATGATATTCTATTTCTGTGTAGCATACATTGTATGTCACAGTATGATATCATTAGTATTATGGACTTAACGTTACAAGTTTTAACTTTGGAAATTACTACCTTGGCTTTAGCTTCATCAACTGATCTAAATGTTATCAGGACTTATCAACTAAATATCATAAGCATTTACAAGACATCCAATGCGATCATGTTCAGTGCCTTGTAGAAACATCCCTTTAAGTTTGATAATGAGCTAGCGGAGAAGTGTGAAAAGACTTTGTCTGTGTGTACGTGCAGGACTCAGAGCATGAGATAGCCCTTCAAGCATTGACAGTGCACATGAACCTGCTATACAACACTCCCACAAACATCCTCCTGGCGTCCAATTACTTCCCGGTCGGAAGTCCGATGACAGCCATACTGGGCCATGTGACACTACCACATCCTACCCGGCCGGCCGCACTGAGCCGCTAACGCCTTGGTATTACCACAGTCAGGTGTCCCGGCCTTTCTCTCTCTCTGTCTCTGTCTTTCAAATCACTAGATTCTATTCTCTTGGTTTTAATGGAACTATGTCATTCAACCTGAACTCATGAAGGTCATTCCACATCCTACATTGTGGTGTGGATCAATTACTTACCGGAACACTTATTGATTACATATCCATGTATTCTTGCAGGTACAATGTACTAGCTGGAAGTCCTTTGTGGTTTGAATGTGAGTTAGAATAATCTGTTAGAAATCGATAAAGAAACAAGATGATCAGTGTGTACTCATATGTTTTCCTTTTTTCGTTGGCAAGTCAAAATGTACAAAATGATGCTAATTATAATGGCATTACATGTACAGTGTAATTTAGATTAGAGGAATTGTTAATTGTACCTAATAGGTATTCGTGTCATGGATCATATATATCTTCCTGTAGTCTTCACTCTCTTTCAAGCTTAATGGAAGTTACCGGTACATGTACCGATATATTCATTGTGATCATGAGGCTTATGGAGCCCTATCACTTTCTTTAGTGCTGCTTGGACTGGTGTATTTGAAGTATTTGATTTAGTTCTTGAATTTGAAAGGTGATATGGTTTATTACTTCCCCTTTCTATGCTACTTCCGTTTAATAGGGTATCCAAAGTTGGTTATTATTTCAGGACTTCCTTTTCATATCAGCATCATCAAATTTTCTTGCACTTTAATCAACCTTCAACGCAGTGGGCGGGGCCCAGCATAAATGTTTACCAACGTGGTATGAGCAGGAGTCCTAAAGCAACAGAAAGTAAAACACATACTGACATTAATGAATGGTGAAGTATTGTCACAGGAAACACGTCATTACTTGCCACCAAGGTCTGAACAACTGTTGACATCCTTCCCGAATTCAAGTTCTGTGCCACTTTTTTTGCTGAATCTTTTGTGTTTTGCCTTTTCTTTTGTTGAAATGCTTTCATGGTGGAAAGACTTTGGTTCATGACAAACACTGGAGGGTATCCAATATCACATGTGTCAACAACGTACTTCCATGGTTCCTCTTCAAGTGCATTTTTCTCAGGTGACTGGGCTATGTAAATTATCAAACCCTGTGTGGGGGAGGGTGGCATTTAGTTACTTAGGTTTGGGTAAAAAATTACTCCTTTTCAAGGAAATTTAGGTAAATATTGATGAAAGGCACATGTACTCAATGACTAGTAGTTTCTAAGAAGGCTTGATGAACGTGGGAAATTTGACATCAATGAAGGGAGATTCCATTTTGTCATGTAGATTCTGGTAAGTATGACTGGTCTTTCAAAGATAATAGGATATTCTCCTTGAAGTGTGGTTCCTGATCAATACAAGCTACCGTGGGAATGTTTGCCATTGATGAAGGTTGATTAAATTGTTTGTAAATGGCATGAGAGATACAAAAGAGCATGACATATTTGTATTTGTTTTTACAATATGCATAGAATTAAAGAATTGACAATAGTTTAGTTTTTCACGTCTTTGTATTAAACCTAAGTCAGGGCAGTGGAAGGAATGGGTATTTCTGTTCTGTGAATTAACAGTTTAAAATATTCATAAATCTCTCTTAATCTGTTTAATGATTAATTGATCATACTGGGCTTACTGGCTCACTATATACATGTACTAGCTGCCAGTGATTTGGTAGACATGAAGATTGATAGTGGGGAGGGAAATCTATTTTTGCTTAATTATGCATTTATTTATGTATTCATTTTCCACAATTTTGTTCAAGTTTAAGACTAATATTTACATTGATGTGAGGGGAAAAACATCTAGAATGATGAACTGATTGAGATCAAGATCAACAAAGTAATGGGAAGATGTGGAGGGGTCTACTGATAAACTTATACTATTTATAGCTTGTAAAATGTAGACCCTGTGACCATTATAAGAAATGGTTTGATTTAGCTCAGCAAATTAACGAAAATTATATAAATTGTATCAAAAAAATATATGTACATTATATACGGATGATTTTTGTTTTCGTAACAAGTGATTTATATCTATTTAAAGCTAAGCCTTCTTTTTATGTCATTGCTGGTCGGCTCTCTGTTTCATAAAACTTTTTATCAACAACAACTGCTACTGATCTATGACAAATGTGCTCATAGCCAATCACATGTTATAACTGTCACATTCACCTTCGTTATTCCTGTCTACTAAGTATGACAAATGTGTGAGGGTCTTATGAATATACTTCATAAAAAGGAATACAAAAAACAAAGAGAAAGAGAAAAAGACAGATACAGACAGACAGTCAAACAGATGAAAGAGAATGTACAGCTTCTCAGCTAAAACTATTTTTACTGTAAAATTCTACTTACGCTTCATGATTTTCTAATCTGTTGACTGAAAAAGTGAAGAAAAAAAGTTTTTATGGCATCAAGTCACAATGTAGGTATTACACTATTGTATGTCTTCATAACAACTGATATCCGCTCATTTTACAGTGCTTCAATGATTGAAATATCCTGCAACTACAGAAGTTATGTAAAGTGCTTGTTTTTATAAACATTGTTGTATTCTAAATGCACCACTGGAATTGTTAACTTCTCATTGAGTCATACAATATATAGACCATGAAAGCAAAAAGTTCTCCTTTTAAATTGAAACTTTTAGATGATTTTGTACAAATAATAATATATTGATACCACAGCCAGGCACACTGCCTAATTGACTCCCAATTGACTGCAAACCAACCAATTAATGTAATTTTATATTAACCGGTTGTCTGTTGTAGGTGTCGGTACTAAGTTGTCTGACACATCAGAATTCACAAATCTATATCCTCATTTTCTTTTACAATTGTATGTCAACAATTTTTAAAAATATTAATAGCATCACATCAGCTGCTTGTGTGATCATGACTTCTGTTCTAAACATTCCTTTCATTTACTCTTTGTCTCGTTTCAGGAGTTGCAGCATGTTCAGCCCATCCAAACTGCGACAGCATAACTCGGTGCCCAACTCTCCCTGTGCCCTACGATCTCGCAGTCACCATCACCACCACCACCATACCTCATGTGGGCGAGGCAAGCTGGTGGAAGTACCCCTTTGGTTTCATGGTCTGATGGAACGTAAGGTGGCAGAGGAACTGCTTCTAAAGAGTCCTTTCAGGGGTCACACCAGTCATCCTAGTAGCAGAGAAGGCCTCTTCTTAGTCAGACAAAGCAGTAACAGAGGAGGTAGGATAACCAAAATCATTTTCATTTTACATGACCTACTGTACATGAATATGTACACATCTACAAATCAATATTATATTGCTAAAGAAAGTATTTTGTTTTAGTATGCATTTTTAGATTAATAGATTTTCCACTTCAAAAGTGAAATAGAAAGTGGCTTTACCAAATATTGACAACTCAGTCATCGAAACTCTCTTGCACATTATATTTAGTGTCCATGTTGACTTCTTAATTGCTCTATAGCATGACTAGTGACTAGGAAGATGTCATAAGTTGAAAGCAGAAAGCAAGAAGGGTGTTAAATCTGTGCATAAATGTTCATTTCTTTTTCGCCCTATCTCTATTTCCTTCTTTTTTAAACGCATAGGGACTTCCTTTATGTTAGTGATATGCGCTATACAAATAACATTCATTATTATTATTATTATTATTAAATTATATGAGTTAATCTCCTTCTGTCTCTAAACAGACATAATTGTGTCTTTTAGATGTTTGAGCATCACTCCCCTATAATGAAGGTATATTTTAGATGCTTCCCATAGACATAGTATATCTAGGTAATAGGAATTGGAGCTATTTGTGTGCCCTCCATGTTACTACACTATAGATGTTTCCACTTGTTCTCATGTTAATGTAAAACCTTTGTTTTCTCGCTTTCATACAGGACATTTTGTGATCTCGGTGTGTACGCGGAATCATTGCAATCATTACCTGATTGAGACCATTGAATCTATGTTCTATGTGAGGAGAGATCGTAGTGAAGACAGGGGGCGGGACATCCAGGCTTGTGATTTAAGAAATCTTATTCAGTGCTATAGAACAACTCCTCTTGATGAGTCAGGTATGTAACATATCATATCTATACTTTTAGGTTTTGCACATTTTTAAAATCTCAAAACACAACAAAGGGAAATAGCTTATCTCTCAGTTATTTTTCTTCTAAAAAATTGTACCTTGTTTTAAAGAAGGAGCATTGGAAGAGCATTTATAAGTAATTGTGTTTTCTTTTGATTCAGAGTAATTACATCATAGGAGAGGATAATTTGGAAGTAATTCTTTTAGTTACATGTATATATTTGTAGGTGCAATATGTCAGTGTGGTTATGAATGTAATCAAATCATTTCAATATTCATAAAGTTTCAATCTTTTTGAAAATAATGATATTGCAATCTGCAGTTACGGATATTATTGCCTGACAAGAAAAACAATGTTATTATTAATACATGATTATATTGTCAATGTCATTTTCTGTCATTTGAAATATACTAATTGAATGTTTTTTTATGTTTTTACTCTCAGGTCTGGTTCTGAAAGAACCGCTTCTTCGAACAACTCCGGTGACGATCACCACATCCCTATTGCCCTTACCTCAGCCTAGAGACAATCATAATTACATCCCTCTTCATGTTGAACACAAGGAGTATGTAGCAAACCAGGATTATGCAGCTCCTGATCCAGTTATGCTCTCATTCTGTGAGGGTGAACTCCTGACTGTCTTACAGAAAGATAACAAGAATTGGTGGTTTGGACACAATGACCGTAGGGAGCTGGGTTACATCCCAGCCGCCCTGCTTAGGAGTCTGAGTGAGTCACAACCTACAGAGAAAAGTGCCTTTTTGAACGCAGGGTATGTCGGGAACGAGGAAGCTACCAAGACTGACGCTAGGGTCGATACATCATCCTTACCGCTCGCGGACTGCAATTCAAACTTTATGAGTGAGAACCAGAACAAAGGTAGCATGCATATGCAGAGGATACACACTGTGCCATGTGGCCTCACATTGCAAAACTGTGGAAATGAAGATATTTACGTTTCTAGTGAATACATCACGAGTTGCCTGGAGAACAGAGATCGGTGGTTGTCACCACAACAACCGAGACTAAGCGTACTTCGATGCGTCTCTCCCAGGCAGTTACAAAGACATTTATCAGAACCAACGGCATGGATCGACTTCTCCGTCAAACCGGAGAGGTTGATCGATGTTGAGCCGCAAGATCTGATGCACTTCAGCGATATGTCACCTGACGCTTCACCAACGCATACATTCAGCGGTAGGCGGTTGAGACATAAAGCAGCAAGGCAGAACAGTTCACCAGCTAGAGGTTCCAACATATCATCATCGGCAGAATCATCACCAGTTCGGAGGAAAAAGGATTCTATGTCTGATTACATGACCACAAGAGACTATGATCCAATTGAGACCTATCTGAGACTATCAGAATGTACTACAGGTCCTACTCATCACAAAGGAAAAACAGACAAATGAAGGAATTTTATCATGTTTTTTATTTCACAAAATATATTTGAAAAAGATATTCCAACTTGTGATTTCAGATGAGATTAATATCCAATGAGATATGTAAATCTGCAGTAGTAAGAGAGAAAAGGCTCACCAGCCTGTGTATTTATATATCATTTTTGTATGTTATTACTGATTCAAATGCAAAGTACTACTATTTATTAAACTTTTTTCAACCATCTACCAATATAAGGAATAAATCATTTAGAGGCTGTTTGAATATACATGTATAAGTTTATTCCTTTTCCTTTTCAGATCATCAAACTTGAAATACTGTTCAAAGTCAAATTCATTATCACCTGAAGTAGCTAATGATGGAAGAACATATACATGTAAGAAATGCTTATGAAGGGCAGGGAAACTTTTATACCATTTGTATAATAGGTTATTATTCAATACTGATATGGGGATAAAGACATATTTGATAAATGGGTAATCACTTTTTAGTGAAAACAAATTCTTCTCTGCTCAGAAATGACTTAGAAATTCATCATTACATATTGAATTTGGAGTCACCCATCACAAGTGGGCAAATACTGGAGAAACTGAAACTGAGGGAGAATTAGTATCTAAAGCATATTTTTATACAGAAAAATATAGTTCAAATGAACATTAGAAATAACATCATTTGTCTCCTGTTCAATGAATAAAGCTACTGATTCAGCAACAGAATTACATGTATATCTATTTTTATATGCTGTGTATGTGTATATCATGTACAACAGAAACAATAACAATTACAATGACTTTTAAACACAGAGCATTTTTGTTATCAATAACAACTTATGTTTACAAATTAAAATGTTTATATAAATCAGTATTACAGTATACTGATGTATGTTTATCAGAACAGCATTATGTTTATCCTGTTTCAAACTTGAAGAAAGCTGATATTTTCAACTGCCATCAATACTATTACAATATTAAAGTACTCAACATCTCACTGCCATGTCTAGTTTTTTTGCAGATTGTGTAAACTGCTCTCTGCATTGACTGATTTAACTGTATCCATTTTATTGGAAAGAATGAGATTTTGAGACATCATAAATATTGGTCATTATTGTGAAACATTTTATAGGGATATATTTATAAATGATGGTACATGTACTACAAGTTTATGATTAATCTTTTGCAAATGCTTACTATCAAGCCAACGTGCTTTCTTGGGTAAAATGGTCGAATATTTGTTCGACATACATGTGTATATTTTATAACATAGTGCATACTGATATATTGTAAGACTATCAAAAGTCATGACGATAGATTAAGAGTTGTGATGGTTTTAATATGTGCTCTATTGCTATGGCAAGGCGGTCATCTCCTTATGTATGTAGAACTCCAATGGATGTGTATTTATGTTTCATGTGTGACGTCATCTCTCACTGCCAACCCTTCATACGTGCTATTTTAACCTTGCTAGGAGCTAATTTTAAAATCTTGTTAAGATTTGCTGATTATGTGCAGCCCAACTTTGCCATGCCTTTGTTAGTTGTGAAAGTCAGCAAGATTTCCACCATAGCTAATAAAAGGCTCTCTCCAATTAAATAGAACATATTACAATCATGAAGATCTGATAGCCATGTTTATTTTTTTTAAACTCTAAGATGGGAAGATCCATATCGATATGGTGTTTAGACAAAATCAAATGGGTAATTCACTTTCTGTTGTATCATTTACATGTCTCTGAAAAAGATAGCTGCACTCATATATGTGATATAGATGTCAAACTATAGGATTTTGTTTAGAAGAATTAAGTAAGCCCTGAATAGAAGTTTACGCTTTCATAATCTCAATCACTTGGGAGTTTTTACTCTTTTTATGTGCGTTTGCTGAAGCATTGTGGAATCATGGCAAATGGTAGGATATCTAAAATAAGGAAATTTGGATTTCCTATGCAAGATTGAAATAAAAATTATTCTAAATTGAACTGGTAGCAAGTTAGTCTACCTCCATCTTTAATTTTCATGTATATTTATTAATATGTTTGCTCAAAACCTTGGAAACTTTTCTTCTTCTTTTTTTGTTCTGTCTCTCCCTCTACATTTTATTTACTTTGTCAGAAAGAAGGTGCTCAAGAAGATTAAACTTAAGAACTCTAAGCTTTATTACTGCCATGACTAAAAAAACAGGGAGCTCAACATCTAGTGTTTCATCTTATTTTGTTCAAAAAGTATTTTTCATATTTCTAATTGCTTTTCTGTTCAATGAGTCCTTTATCAAATTATTTCTTTAAAAATCACTTCATTTATGCGTATGTGGACATCTACAAAGAAACAATTCACCTTGTTTCTTTTTTTCATCTAGTGCTATTTCAAGTCATTTCAATAGAAACAATGTTTGTAGAATGGCAGGTTGATGTATGGGTCTTCATCTTACAAAATAAGACTGCGCCATTAACTTTTATCAATAAAGATATCAATATTTTCTATCATTATTTTCTTGCTAACTTCATGTGCTGCTTGATTGTAGAATATTTTTACAGATGGGTCTTTGAGTAGAACTGGAATATTCATTTCTTGCTGCATACATTAAGAGCTGAAAGACATATTGAAGTTATTGTTCTATTTGAAATTCAATTATAAGATGTTTTAGCCACTTTTAGCTGAATACCGAGTTCAGCTTCCAAGTTAATCTAATACTTCTCATACACTTTACAGTTGTGATATATAGAATATGTATTTTCTTCATCAGACAATGGGATGGGGTAGTTTAAAGTTTCATGAAACAATTGTTATCACTTTATTTCAGATCTTGTAAACCGGTGCAATGGATTCAAATTGATCTCAACTTAATATCAATCGCAACTCTGTACGTAAAGTGTTAGGAGGTTTAAATTTTTGATTGAAGATATCGCGATCAATCTGGATCAATTGTGATCCTTTTTCTAAAGACAGGGCACTAGACTCTGATACTCTTGAAAGATTCTATATTTGCTATTACATGTATCTCTAACATGGTGAATTTCACACTGCTTGTTAAATACAAAATACGATTTTTATATTGCATAGGGACAAAGAAACATTACAGAAGTCTATTTTCAGTACAGACAAGGAATAGTATTGCTGGTAAAACTATTGTATATGGGTTAACTAGTTGAAGAAGCAAAGCAACGACTCATTTTGCAGAAAAATCTAAAGTGGGGAAAAAAGACAACTCTTTTCAAGTTTACTGTGTTATATTTCAACGTAATGATGCAACTTAAATATTGTGGGTAAAATGTATTCATATGTAATCTATAAATGATATTTTACAATAAGTTAATTGTGAGGATCCTCTTTATGCGTTAACTGTTAACTGCCTCTTTGACGTTTGTAGCTATAACAAAATACAAAGTAAATCTTGTTGGGATCGTGATAGTGCTCTTTATGCAACTCACAATCATATTCATTTCTATAATTCTCAACTACTTCAGAAATAATTTGTAACTAATGATGTGATTAGGATGCTTTCTTAGTCTGAATGGAAGAAAGAAGTAACAACCAAACATTGCCAGTTTGGAGAATTTTGAGTGTGACAAAAAATGGAAAGGATTATTTGAAATTGTTCTATGATCCACATTTTTATATCGATTTATTTCTGCTCCTCAGTGTTGCAGTATTATACTTGATTGATGACATAAAGAAAATTTAGCTGTTTGCCATATTATCTGTATAAATATATTTAAATATATATTATAAGAATACACTAAATGTATGGTTTTATTATTTTTGTGACAAATATAGACATAATGTCAGCCAAATAATACATTTGTGTGCTGATTGTAATTTTGAATTGCCTTTTTCTCAAATAATCTCAACGCAGAAATCACTACAGAACATGAAGATAGGAGATAAACACTTTATTCCAATATCAAGATACATTTTACAAGAAATTGTACAAATCATCAGTTTCTACATTTAAAATCCAAATGAAAATTAATAATGAAGAAGATGAAATGTGTGACCCCAAGACAGACGCAGACACAGAGAGAGAGAGAGAGAGAGAGAGAGACAGAGAGAGATAGAGACAGAGACAAAGACAGACAGACACAGACGCAAATGAAGAGGGATGGAAAGTTGAACAAAAAAATAATTTGACCAAAAAGCGTGAGATGCACGCGAGGGAGACAATACCCCAAAAAAGATGAGTGAGATGAGGATGACAGGAAAGTAGATGAAAATAATAATGGGCAACATTTTTCTGGAAAAAAAAAAAAGAAACAAACAAACTGAAGTGTCATATGCAAGAAATATATGTTTTAATAGCAAACTACAGATAAAAAATAAGGTATAGTGGGTAATCCTGAAGGAGAAAAAACACAAACTTACATGTACATGTAAGTCTATATAAAAGAAATATTGAAAACAAAACTAGGAAACTATCAAAGAAAAGATCTAAACTACTTTGGAAAATATGGGACAAGAGTGGTCTGAGAGACTAAGTGCATTATTTGGGGAATATTCTTAAATTCACAAAGTTGATTACAAAGTTAAAGATGATCGAGGCAATGGTAAACTGAATGAGAAAATATCAATTAACAAACTGAAGTAAAATGTATATTAAATGAAACTTGTATGAGTGAACACACAGAATCTGATAGAAGTTTAATAATAAAGATGAATGAATAAGTACACCTGTATTCAACACAAAACTTGAACCTGGTTGATTTATGCTTGGTCTAAAATCAGGTTTAACCTAAATTAGACCGTAAGTTTTTCCTTTGTTAAACAAGACCAAGTGTAAAGTTTGACCAAATTAATAGAATATAAACCTTAGAGGTTAAGGTACAATGGATGAAATTCATAAGAGCAAAAATAAATGAATCATCATAAATTGGAAATATTACAGATTTTATTCAAGGCTTAAAATAGCATTAAAGGAAACTGGTCTAAACTGATTACTGGAAAGAGAAACAGTATTTGTTAACCTATAAAGGTAATACATGTACATTGGTGGATAAGAAAATGGATATAATGAAAATATTCAAAGTGCATGGTTTCCTTTTCTTATTGCCTAAAGGTTCTAGTTGGCTCCTGTGTTAAGCCTATGGGAATGAGAAAACACAGTAGCCAATGGGTTTAGACCATTTCCAGCAATATGGAACAAGGGGGTGGTGTGTAATATCTTTTTATATCTCTCTTCTTTTTCTTCTAATAAAGGTGTATCTAAGATAGCAAATAAAACAAATCTGTCCATAAATCCATACCCTTGAAATTTAATTAGCAATAGTTTTTTCTATGAAAAAAGCAATGTTTTTGCATACTACAGCTTTGTACGGCAAGACAGGGGTTGCATTCATTAATACATTTGAAATACATGTCTTCATTTTCTCCTCCAGTTTGTAATGTTCACATGGATGATGTTCCATTTCACTTTAATCCATTGATTTGCATATGAATATATATGACAGGCAAGCCTCTGGCAACCTTTCCAGATATGTGTCAGATAGATTATAGAACCCTCCTACAGAGCTAAAATGATTCTATATGTATTATAAAAGTAGAGGCACTTGGTTGTTGAGTAATTCAAACATGACCAATTACACTGGAATTTGATTCCGATCTGATCGATACAAAACATACACAATCATTTGAATAATTATAATAACAATAATAATAATAGGAATAATCATTTGAATAATTATAATAATAATAATAATATTTAAAAAAATAAGAATAACTATAATACTAAATTTGAATGAACGCTCAACATAAATATAATTATATATGTTATATAATACTAGTCTACACATAATATTTGAATCAAAAGCACACTTGAAATATACTTTGTAGAATGACATATATGTAGAAGACCAACCAGGGCACCTCTAAAACACAAAACAGTAGAAACTTGTCATGGCAAACTTATTGGAACCAAGGAAATTACATTGTCCCTTGTGTAAAAAACTTGGTATACCAGACCTAAACTTCAATTAAATACGAAAGAGTTTGGACTGGCAAAATTACCTGTAGGCTGTAATACCAGTCTTCCTTGTAATTAAGTTCTACAGTAATTTTTTCTTGAACATGAGTAACAAACAAAAACAAAACACATAATCAAAACAAACAGCATGTAGCTGATTGAATCTTTCACCAACACCATCGAATAGTTATACAAATACATGAACTTCATTATAACTATTGTCACAGTGTTCTCTTCATTTCAAAGACCACAATTTGTTCTGTTTTTTAAGTACTTATGGTATACTTATCTCAATGGCTTTATCTCTGTGGCTTGACATATTAAATATTTCATGAATTGATTTCTCTAGAATCCTACTGAATGCTTCTAGATCTAAATGTAGTACTGTGTCTATGATGTTCAAATACCACTTTATGAGAATTCAAAGTTGAAAAACAATCCCCACATACGACATTAAACTATAGAAACTGGAGATTGATATCAAGTACTAATTACTGAGAATTTTTCACTTCCTTTATAATAAAAGACTATTTGTAACAATTTACTGATTTATAGTAAATTAGATAGATTCTACACAAACAAAAAGCTACCAATCTGCCAAATATTGTTCAATTTCATTATTGCACTCAATGAATATATTAGTTGATCTAAAGAATATATTACAAAGCATTCACCCCAGCCAAAACTTTCCACAAGATCCATATGTGAAGAAAAAAATCACCTTGGGTGTAAAAAGTAAAGCTGCAATGCCATTAAAATGACACTTTCTACCTTTTTAGGATTCCTCTACATTCCAATGCAATTAGGATTACTTTCAATCACTACTAATTGTACTAAAAATTAATAAAATCTCCATCATCTTCATGTGTTAATATTCAATCCATCATATTAACAGATACTGAACAATTAATCAAATGTAATGTGATAACACTTTCCACTTTTCTTCATGTTTTTCATGCTACTCTACAATGATTCTATCATGAGATTAGATTGGCCCCAAGTCAATCGGGCCCCCAGTAAATATGAATTACTTTTAAAGGTATTACAAAGTTTTGGGAAATTTTGAAAAATGGGTTGATAGTGATTCTTTACAATTTTTATATATTTGGATGCCCCTGTGGATGTATTAAAAACACCAGAAATTTTAGCCCCTAAATTACTTCTGTTTTCGAGAAAAATTGAATATAAAGATTTACCGGTGCTCCCGGTAAATTTTGATAAATTTCAAATAGCTCCTACGGCCGTACAATGGTAGCTGCGACCATGAAAATCTCAGAGTATGTAGTTGTGGTATATAATTTCCGAACGAGAATAGCTAATCGGTCGATTTTAGTCAATAAACATTGTTTTATAGCTTAATTAATATCTTGACCTTGAGAGGGAGCTATTCAACATAAAGTGTTTATTATTTACAATTTCATAGCTTTAGAGTCGATTTCGACCGCGACAATGATCACTGAATATTATAGGATCGTATATGCTTCCAATATGTTCATTTGAACCAAATTCATGACCCCATACCAAAACTTTGTATTACCTTTAATAGAAAAGTCATGACTGCCACACATGCAAATGTATAGCACAGAAATGCTCTTCATGAATGAATATCAATACCTTCTCCACCCCACATTCCAAATTGCCAACATTGTTAATTACATTAGCACACCAGTCCTTCATATTGTGAATTTCACCAATGAATTTCAAAGTTGGAATGTCACAAAAAATATTGTAGTACATATCCAAATTAAATATCTTCGGATAGAATTGATTGTCTAGAATCATGTCGTCTCCAAAGTCAATTGAATTACTAAGATGTTTTGACTTGCCATTTAAAGATAATGCACAGTCTTGGTAAAAAATCAAGTGAAGAAAAACAAATTTCAAATAGAACACAACCCAACAAAGATTGTACTTAAATATCTCTATTTTTTTAAACTCAAATGCAAACCTGCGCAAATGATTCCTGTATCTATCAGTTTCCTGATAAATATCTTGGATTAAGACTGCACAATCATGAATATCCAACAGACAAAAATTGTTTCTCAGCTTACAACATTGACGAATTCAAGCAAGTAACCCAAAGACATTTAATAGTTTTCATTAAAGTATCAGTAAAGACATAAATCTGAGTTAAGTTTTATAGCTGAAAGATTCAAATATCTTAAGTTTTGGAAGCTTAACTTTCAGGGTCTGATGTACCTTGTCCTTGGGCAGAGTCTTTTGTTCCGATTCTTGGAATGAGAATCTGGACCTCTTCTTGTTCTAGGTCCTGATCTGATACTTTTGTCTGGTCCACGTCTGAGTCTGCATTCCACTGGAATCCATAATTCTTTTGGAGTCTGTCTTGTCGAGACTGTACCTCTCCATCATCTTTCATCTGGAGAAAAAAAGAGCAAATCATATTAATCTCACCACAAACCATCATAAAAGCTGTTAGACTTTAACACCGGTTGCTTTCTTTGCCTTTTTGCATGGTCTTTTAAAATAAACTACCATAAATGCAGTACATCTGGTAATAATGCCCACTGCCATCGAGTGATGATAAAGGACATGCCTGAATTATATTGCAGTCACAAATATTGCATATCATCTGAGAAGAGCAAGAATTGGTGAACTCTTTGTTAAAGAACAGAAGTATGTCCTTCTGGCTCTCAACGAATGACATCTCATACAACGGTAAAACCAGAAACATTCACATAGAAGAAATGTTTGTGATTAATATTCAGAACAGTTTCATGCCAAGAACTAATTCAATCATAACTGACACGATATTGAATTGTTGCGATTCATAAAAGATTATTTCTGTGAAAATAGCTGTCGTTTACATTTGGCGAAAGCTTCATGTGACAAACATGTCTGGTTTGACAGTAGTACAGAGATTTAGGCTTAGGACCATCGCCTTGAGAGAGGATGGATGTTTACTCACCACGAGACCAAAGATCATATTCCTGAAGTAGCTGCTATCCTCCTCACTCAGTACAGCGAACCCTTCATCCTCCATCCCTTGATCTGGCCAATCCTCCGGTACGTAACTCAGGATTCTTACTTCAAGCTGACCAGCATCTTCAACATCAAGATAAAGGGTCAAATTCAGGAAGTGGTCTTAACCATGTTATAACCCTCCCCATTAATTTACATGAGCATAAATAAGTGCAGTTGTGTGTATTGCTGGTTTATTAGGCATACAGACATGAATGTACTACACTAATGGAGGTTTAAACCATGGGGTATTAAAGATACAACATCATTGTGAAATGAAGCCAAGGAGACAAGACCACTGTTAGTATGTATCTATATAATATAGTCTCAATATCTAACGTACATGCTAAACTGCGAGTTTAGTGTTCCAAAACCATCCTGCAAAAGAAAAAAATATGTCTGAGAGCTACTTTAAGACATCAGCACTTTGAAACTCCATCATCTTGTCCATCATTGCATTTATTGACATGAAGTTCAAAGCTATGGCCATTATAGCAAGAGAAGTTCAAAAACACTTCTTGTTCAAAGTTTTATGATAAGTCATGGGATTAAATTGTTAACTTCCAATCACAGAAAAATACCAGGCTGAACAATCACTTATTGATCCCTAACTAAATGTCGAAAAATCAAAGCTAAAGACAAACCATCATCAATGATTTGCAATGTCTGCATAGTTTTTCTTTGAACGCTTTGCAATCAGTAAGTACAAATTGATTAGAGAGTCAGAAAACCATTAACTCACATACTTTTACAGAGAGTTAAATGCCCTTCTGATTCTCAACAGACTATATTCCATTGATTTAACTTACCTTCTCTATTAACTCCTGACTTCTCTAATTGTTCTGATATAGCTTGTTCAAGATCTTGATGATCAGTATCTAGGAACTTCACCTCCTGCTCTGACGATGCCTTCTGATTCTTGTCCAATTTGACCCTGGTGACCCGAACTCTGACCCTACTGCTGAGATCACTTGACTCAGAAGGAGTTGCACTCTCCGAGGAGGATGCTGCCTCTCCTTTAAAATTAGCTAGAAATACGGGATAATGAGATAATTTTGAGAGTGTTATTTTTTTTCTTCTTTGTTTTGGCAAAATATTGTCACACAGAGTATCCATACAAAAATTAAAGAAAATGAAACAAAATGACAATCATTCTTTAGTTAGAGTGGCAATGAAACAATAACGCCTGTAGCAAACATTGCTGCAGCATGTGTAAGATAAGAGATAAAGACAAGTTAAATATGGTTATAATAAGACCAGTACATTCAAAGTCGATAACATCACTGATACCATGAAAATGTTGGCAGGTGGAAGTGGAAGGTTTTATCAAAAATAGACTCCTACTATACATTTTTTAAGCATTCATGTTTTTATTTTGTTTTTTATTAGCGCTCATTTAGAGCACCTGTGTATTTTCCCCTGATTACAACACCAGTTTCTCTGCGCTATCAATAATGTCAAAACGTATTTACCCTGTTCCTTCAACTGCCTCATAAGCTTTTTCAATGTAACGGCCAAATGATCCTCAAGATCTTTCTTCTGCTCTTCCAGTCTCTCCTCCTCCTTCTCATCCTCATCCTCCTCCTCATCCTTCATCGAATCTTCTCCAACAACATCATCCTTTATCTGATCTTCTCCTGTCATGCCATCCTTCATGTTTGTTTCCAAGACTGTGACCGGACCATCTGAGGGATCACCCGAGGGACCATTGGAGGGATCACCCGAGGGACCATCAGAGGGATCATCCGAGGGACCATCGGAAGGATCACCCAAGGGATCAGCTGAGGGATCACCTGAGGGTGTGTCTCCTGGCTGCATTGGATCATCCAGGGCTGGTGATAGATCAGATACATCTTCCTCAATTTGCTATTGGGGGTAAAAAAAAACAGTTTCGGAGCAAGGAGAGTAGATATTGACATTGATTTACTACATGAAAAATAGTATTTTGTGCAATGACACTAAATAGAGAGAGTCAAATAAAGCAACATGACACAGATGGACTATGAGAGAATATGAGAGAGAGGAGGGGGGGGGGGATAAAAAAGGGATTATGCAAAATCTAATATATCATCACAATTCACATATGAAAAGAATAATTGTGTATGCGTTTTTTCACATTTATCTTCCAAATATGAAGAATTGTTACTGTCATTGTTGGAATGATATTCATAGGAAAACTGGGTAACTCTACTAATACATATCCTTAATATCAAATCTCAAAAGATATCGTAAGAGATAAAGCAGAGAGAACGCCTTGATTCCTGATTTAGGGAGAATAGAGCACATTCAAAGAAAATGCAGGAGGTACAAAAAAAAAAAAAATTTCAATTTCATTTCAAGTGTTTTTAATAATTCTTTATTTCATTGATCAATTAGGTTTCAGATATCTTTCATAGTAACCATCTTATATACGGGTACCTGTTTCTGCTTAGAAGAGAAACAAAGGTATATTCAGGCCAAATGATAGTAGAACATTTGTATTCTTAGGTAAGATTTACTAGACACACCACATAAGGTGTTAAGATCCAGGACATTAACTTACTTCTAACACCCTCTCCATCGCCTCAATATTCTCAAAGGAGTCTGCGATCTCCTGCGCCAGCTTGGCCAGTTCTGTGGCTTCTTCTTGATCTGTTGTTGGTAGCTCCTGGATGTACTTGGTCAATTCCTTATAGTCCATCTTGAGGAGCTCCATATACTCCTCATCTTCATCTTCATCTTCATAATCATCATAGTCCTCCATCTCTTCCTCTCCATCTTTGTTGGTTCTGCCCTCCATCATCTTTGGGTCTGCATCTGTGGGTTTTTTAAAATCCACAGAAACCTTAGTAACTACATTGATCCAAACCCAATGTTTCATGTTTGAAGTCTAATGTAAACAAAGAAGGTATTAGCATTCATACAATCAGTCATCAGTATTGCTTTCAGATACCCCTCCCAACCTATTTAAAAAAAATTATAATAAACTCAAATAATAAAATGGGATGGGAATAAATACATATCTCCTACAACTATAGTTATTTCAAATCAATACTTCTGAAAATAAGTTCATATTTACTGTTGTCGTTTCTGTATAAGTGAATAATTTGAATCAAGTTCTAACATACATGTAGTGTAATTAATATCACACTTTTAGCTCATGATTTTAAGACAGCATATTTTACATCTATCCTTAAAAGAGATACATAAAAACTTACTAGCATCACTGATAGCAAAACTCAACATGTTGTTCTTAAACCTGGATATAGGACCTACATCAGGCCTGGTAAGTACAATGTATAATGGTACAGGACAATACAATATTAATGCGAAACTGGTCAGTTAAGTTATGTTCTAAATATGAATTTAAAAATCTAACCTTCAAGCCGAGAGTTGATTTTCCCTATTGTTCCTTGTACTCCTTTCAAAACCTCTGTAAGTAATTCAGCGAGCTCATCAGGGTGCACATCCATCTCAGTAGGGTCTATGTACAACAGAGTCAATAATTAAAACAAATAAAGACATATAAACTGGTAACATTTATCATCAATAGATTCATTTTGAGGTAATTTTTTCTATTACTCCTTTCATCATTTTTATTAAAGTTCTCGAACTCATTCGGGTGTACATCCGGCTTGCTATGGTCTATAGACAACAGAGGGAAGAATTACAAAAAACAAAGGCACATGAATCAGAAAAGGCTTGGGTTTTTTGAAGTGTACTTCAGCATACTGCACTTCATATTTTGGTATCTTCCAACACATAGGACCTCACTCTTTTCACCCCCACTTGCCATTCAGTTAGAACAGAAACAATGGGTGTGGTTAACTGTTGGGAGTTTACCATGGCATATGAAAATGAGCCTTTACGATTGCTCAGAGTATCATTAAGTGCAACAATAGACACAACACCATACCTAACCCAAACTCTACATTACATAAACCTAACCTGAAACACAACCCCTACCCCAATCCTAACCCTTTTTCTTTCAGGAAATATATAGCTCAGAGTAAATGTTACAGGAGCAAATGTCTGATAGAAAAGTAAATGTTGTATTTAACCTCCTTTTCCTGTAATGTCCTTGTCTGGTCCTGGAGTAGACATGTCTCCATGTAGATGATGCTCCTCAAGTAGCTCTAGATCATCACTGTCTTCATAATCATAGTCATCTGGATCCTGAGTGGTGCCTTCTTCTCCGTCTCCTTCCTCTCCCTCAGCACTGTCTCCTTCTTGTGCTTCTTTGGAATATCCTGGAATGAAGATGACAAATTATGCAACATGACCTTACAAACAGTAACTGAACACATGAAAAATAAATTCTGCTGAAGTACATTTCGCATTGAAAAGGCTATCACTGTATTACAAATCACGATTTTAAAAAAAAAATCATCGTAATTGGATTACTAAATTAATTGGCTAATACTTCCTCCATACTTTAATATAACCATCCAGTATTTGATATTTCATTTCAACCATATCACTGACCATGACCACAGTATAACTAATTGTACTTTGAAAATGTGATTTACACGATAGTGAGGATGATATGTATCATCTCAGTAGTACCAAGTTTCACTGGTGTATGTAGGTGTGTGCATGAGTCAAGTAAGGAATGAAAATACCACGATTCCCACAATGATGCAAGTGAGGAATTATATTTCATTGACATTCCATTTGTTTGTGTATAGAAGAGATAAATAAAATATTACTCTCTTTTTTTGTGTGTGTGTATAAGACAAGCTGATATACGATTCTCATACCATGTCCAAAAGAGAGAGAGAGAGAGAGTAATATATATATTTCATACCATGTTTCATAGGTTTGTGATCAAGAGAGAGTACTAATATCATTCTCTTATTGTTTTGGTTTGTTGGTGCATGTAATGATAAAACTGCTCAGGTATGAGAAGAGGGTAGAAAAGGATTGTCTTTGGTTTAGCCTTGGCGGGTGTACAAGACAAAGTAATATAATTCCCTTACAACAATTATGTTTCATTTGTTTGTAAATAAGAGAGAATAATAATTATCTCTTACTATGTTTTGTCTGTTGGTGCATATAGTGGTCATATTGTACAGGCATGAGGAGGGGGTAGCAGAGAATCGTCTTTGGCTTAGCCTTGGCGGGTAGTTTGAGGTATGGATGATGACATATCCTCATTGTATGCACCGTGATCACATAGCGACAAGACTCAGGCTCATCAATCCGTGACATGGTATCAAGCTCGTTCTCAGCACACAAGAACTGTAAAAGACAGGCAGTATGATATCCATCAGTGATTTTGAATGGTGCAATGATATCAATACTACATGTACATGTATAACAATGGGGTCAGGGTATACAGCAGAGAATAAAATATTGGACAAGTCAGTTAGAATAGGTTACTAACATTATCAACCTGTTTGCAGGAAGAAGGCAACCATATGAGCAAATCTGGTTGGTTAGTGATGAGGATGTTTGTACAAATAACATGCGTGTCATTATAGTTTAAGACAAGTAAATTAAGGCTTCATACTTTCTCAGACAGACTCCAGATTATTAACAGAATATTATGGCCCGGTCCCACTGGCCGATAGACACAAAACGTATGCATAACGGACAAAGCGGACGAGCAAAATTTCGGGTGTGGCTCCATCCGTTTTCATCCACTCCAGAAATGGACAAAATTTGCGAAAACAGAACGGAAAATAACGGACGTGGGTAGTATGTAGCGGGGATGTTAAACGGATGTTCATCGGAAGCCTAGCGGATGAAAGCGGATGGAAGTGGATGACAGCTTTGAATACTTTCTATACGAGATGCATACGCTTACATCCTTTCTATTTCCGTGCTACTAACGATGTATATAGACGTTCCATGTACCTTATCTTTCCGTTTTCAGCTGCAGCAGATGTGAGTTGCGAGGATGCCCAAAGGATGCAGAGAAGATACAGCGGACGTTTAACAGATGATAACGACATAAAACGTTTGTTGCTTGTATTTGTCACGGATTTACATCATACACGGCGGAAGTTCATCCGTTCTAAAAGTTCTGTGCAGCTCAAAACTTTTTGCGCGAATGAAATCACAGTGGACGGATGCTTGATGGATAGAGCGTATGAAACACGTATGCAATGAGTACACAACGGATGCATAGCGTTTTCCAACGGATGGCAAGATTTTTTTTTGTTTTACATCCTCTTTGCATCCGTAAGTGCAGTGGGACCGGGCCTTTACAGAGGTATTTTTGCATTTTTGCATTAGAAGAGGCTTGGATACCTGGCACTTCAGAATGCTCTAACATGTACTAACCTACATGTAACTCTTTTTCAGCCCATTTCAAATTCAAACTTACATATGTGCAATAATTTCTCCTAATATATCCAGCTACATAGTGTAAAATGATATTGTTTACAAGCTAATTTAATCCCAAGCCTTTTACACACAAATAATAAAAACTGAACTAACCCTGACTTCCACTTCTCTGGGCTTGCCAGTCAAGTCACAGTTTGAGCCGTTGACATAGCGGTGACTGTGGTAGCGATTCAAACGATGTCTTTTGGCAGCCTAATAAATAAAATGACAATATAAATGCAATATCTGATGATAACATCCATCCACAGACCATGTCTGACAAACAATGTAGGCCTACCATTGGCTGTAAGATAATGCATAAATATCTTTTATTTTATTGGGTGACATACATGTAAATAAAATTAACCACTGTATGTGCATTCTCAGAAAGAGCATGGCATGTTTAGCATGACATATATTGCTCTGCAGAAATTCATTATTGGATTTTATGCTACACTATCAAAACATGTGCATGATTTCAGGTAATAAACGATGGAAAATAGAAAGTCCACCCAAGCTTTGAACAAAAAATTAAGTAGGTAGATTCCCCAACAAAAGTAGAAACATAGAGAAGCCTACAGACTTCATATCAGAATGTGGTATACGCTATATGGAAATGGCATAGTACTAAATATTATTAAAAGTAATGTAAATGAAAGAAAATCATTCATTTGCTAATTTTATACACATAAAACAACTATTTCACATTACTTACAGAATGACTTTTGTTTTCCCAGTCCATTTCTGACTCAAAGACACCAATAGTGATGACTTCCCCTGAGATTTGGTTGTTCTCTAGGTGAAACTGTCGAACATGCTTCCCATAGCAGAACTCATAGGTCCACCAATCTTTGCTCTAACAGAGTAAGAAAGAAAAGAAAAAATGTCACTTTTTCAAAATGTATGAATCGGGAGGGTCTTTTCTTTTTAGAGGACCTATAATAGAATGTCGTCCTTAATATAACTAGAGTAGTGCCCTAAGGGAGAAGGCACTTATGAAAAAAAGGGTAATAAATGATAATTTTGTACATGACAAATGGGAGAGATGTCTCATGACTAGGTCACAATCCATTCACCAAATTGCCAATTTGAGAGTAACATGGATTCAGTGATCTCATATTTCAAACATTTGTAACTCCCTTATTATTTGTCTGATTTATTTCAAACTTTCCCGTTCTGTTTTTCTCTTATTTTCTGCTCCCATACCAATCAGGTTATTTCAATGGTTGGATTGCCCATTAAGGAAGTATAATAATAATAATAGTAAGGTAGCTAGTATTGAAGTACAGTACTATGACATTTGGTCTTATCCAAGTCTGTCTTCAGATATATTCAATTCTCTGATGTACATGTAGTCAGTAATGTACAGGACCAGGCCTTAATAAAATGACAAATAATTTGTTTTCTTAAAGAAGTAAAAAACGAATCTGATGATCTGACACTAGGATCTATAATTATTCTTCACACTATACTTATCATGACTCAGATTAAAATAGATGGTCAAAAGAAAGCTTTCAAACTGTAATCATGCAAGATCTGGATAAATGCCTATCCATTTGAGTTCTTCCCATTTGAAAGACATAAACTCTCAATCAAATATAAAAAGCTATTGATTTTTTTGTGAATTAATTGTTCTTCTTTAAGTCATGAACTTGGCTGAATACCTTGAGCAAGCATGGAGCAAGTTCCATTGGTTTGAGAAGATATGAGATTCCAGTTTCAGCAGCAGTCTTCTCTTCATCCTGAACTTTCCCAACATCAGCAACATCAGGGAGCTGGCATTCATATCGCTGTCCAAACTTAGAACTCAAGTAAACTACAGAGGTATGGAGTGGCTGAAAATGATGGTTAAAAGAGATAAACAAGTTAATACTGTGCAAAGCCAAAAGGTTGCATCTCAAACTAACATGTCTTTTTTTGGTAATCCTTATTAGTCTCTTTTTCATTCTTCTTAAGTTTTTCTGCTCCTCCTTCTGGCTTCTCATCATCATTATCATTTATAATATCATCAGCAATAGCACTCGACACGACAGTGCTCTATAAAATCTACATAGATTAGATTTAGATGCTGGACTGGTAATGGTACACATTAAGGCTGTGCACAACCTTGTAATGAGGTACCCGAGTACATTCCCAGGCTTACAAGCGAATACTCGAATATTCGGACGCCATGTTTTTTTTTTGTTTTTTTTAATTTTTTGTTTTTTTTGCCACCACCATACCACTGGAGCAGCATCCCAGGTCCTTCTCCGAAAACTCACGCGATTTTACTTCCGAGTTGCAGTTGAAGGCGCAGATTTAATAATAATAATAACAGTAAACAATGCTGTTTTAAAAACCAAAGATGGCAGAATAATCCATTTTTCTCTGAGTCCAAACAGAAATCCGGACATTTGGTCCCAGTTTCCGAGTGGTGAGTTTGACAGTGATCGAGTTACACTGTAGGAAACATTTTTACCGACGGCATCATGCCAGCGGCGGGCGCTCTCGCTGGCACGGGTAAGCGTTGGCCTGGACAGTGCCAGGTGACTGGGATTTTTTTTTTTGCGGCCGAATATTCGAGTACGAGAAATCGTACTCGAGTAGTTGTCAACAGTGCGGTACTCGAGCATTTGACTACACGTCGCAGCCCTAGTATACATTACAACTTAAAAGCAAGTTATTTATTTCTATGCATAGAAGGATGACTAGGTCTATACGTTGTTTGCAATATTAAATAGGCCTAACCCAATTAAGACACTCGCTAGTATTTGTACTAAAAAAACTCAAACATCACACCAAAACAAAAAATTGTTACCCAAAATCTATCTATTTTCGCAAATTTATTTTGTAAGCTCATTAGAATTATAACTTTTTTCTATTGTATTGTGAGCTCTTATAGTGGTCAATATACATTTTGACCCCTAGGTCTAACTGCGTTTCGACATCTCAAGTCAATGCTCATGCTAAGTCAAATGGTATTTCATAACCCACGTAAAACCAGACGTATGGGACCGAGTATAAACAAATCTGGTACTTACTCGTCCATATAAAACAGGCTTTTCGAGGATATCTATATCGTAATGAATGCTTTTTAGTTCTTCGATGTCCAAGAAATGTGTCGATGTACCTGCCAACATAGTAATATTGGTTAAAAACAACGCAAAGGCGATAATTCTTATTCGCATCATTGTTGCGTTCGACTTTGTTGATTTCCGTCCAACCTGTGTTGTATGATGTATTAGGTTTATGATGACTTGCTGGTACGTGATTGGCTAGCGATGGATGCCTCGATTGGATGCCTAAGTATCATTTACACGAATAGAGTGTAATATGCTGGCGCGGATCCAGGGGGGGGGGGGGGCCTTGCCCCCCCCCCCCTGGATATCCCCTCCAAAAAAAAGGGGGGAGAGAGAGAGAAGGAAAGAAGGGAAAGGGAAAGAGGAGAGAAAGGGGAAAAAGAAGAGGAAGAAGAAAAGAAAAGAGGGAAGAAGTAGATCGGGGGGGCATGGCAAAAGGACTTGCCTCCCAGGCTGTTCCCCCCCCCCCCAATCAAAAAATAAAAGAGAAGGAAAAAAAGGGAAAGAAAAAAGGAAAAGAGGAGATACAGGGAAGGAAAAAAGAAAAGAAGGGATATCAGTTGTAATTTACCCGCCAACAACTTGTGGATCGGGGGGGGGGGGGGGGCAAAAGGAAGGAAGAGAACGTAGGAGAAAAAAACTGAATTTAGACAAAGATTAAGAGTCGATAACGACACAACAAATCGTCTTCTTTCTCTAATGATTTAATGAAACGTAAACTTCAGCTTAGCGCGGGAGGGGGAAAACTAAATTCAGACGAGGATTATTTTTTGAGAACGGTAAAACAAATCGTCTTCTTTCTCTAATAATTTATTGAAATGTCAAAGCTACCGCGTTTCGCGAAGGAGGGAGGGGGAAACTCGCCCCTCCCTGCACCCACCAACCCCAAATTATGTCACTGCTGGTCACCATTAGGCCTACGAACCAATATTTGGCTCGCATAATTTCAAATTTTGCCCCCCCCCCCCCCTAAGAAATCCCTGGATCCGCGCCTGATGTATATACAACGGCAACAGTTTCAATATAAAATGTAAGTTCTTCTTACTTAAATCATTGGTCTGGAAACAATTATTTGCCCATTGTTGTGTAAATTGTATTACATTTACACTGACAATGAATTCACATTGTAATGCAATTTTCAAGTTTCCCAGGCTTATTTAGGAGAACAGAAGATTGATATTGTTAAGTTTTACGATAACATCACTCAGTTTAATTTGATTGGAGATATATCTCATTAAAAACAGAGTAAAGGCTATACAGTATCAAACCATAGATCAAACAAACTTACACCATTAAACTTCAAGCTCACTCACACATGATTTATTGCGACACTTTCAAGGCTACTTATTATTTCAAGTTCATGTATATACAAAGGGCAACAGCTTCAATATTAAACGTAATTAAATCATTGGTCTGGAAAATTTTATGCCCATTGTTGTATATTATACAACATTTTTCATAACGATGAATATACATTGAATAATGCAATTTTCAGGAAAACCATACTTGTCATTGCTGTTATATTTGTTATATGATACTAAAGCAAATCGTTTCGCTTATCGATAAGATAAATAAATGTTAAGTACGTGTCAAATAATGAAATCAATACGTGCTATTTTTAACCGGACTAGACATTTGAAATGTATAAAAAATGTATACACTATTGACAGCAAGCAAGTTTTTTAAACAAAGAATTCAGAAATTGAACAACATTGCACATTTTAGTCTACACGGCATGCTCTACACCTTATAGTTGGACTGTAAACAGTCGTCTTCTTAAGTCTTCCATATGAATATAAATTTTAAGGAGGTCAATAATCATTATGAAAACACCACTTTCGTAAGGTTGACACATCAATATATATTGTGCACACGTAACAATGTGATAATATTTTTTCTTGGGGGGGGGGACGGGAGGAGGGCAATCCAAAAAGGGACTGATATGTGAACATTAATATTGATAGGTCGCTTCACAAAAGGGGCATACATGGTCCTTTTTTGTGGATAGTTTTTTGAGCAAAACACAAAATAGGTGGAGCCAACGTCCACACAGGTCACATCGCACCCATGGAGGTTTTGGCCCGAATTTACAAAGGAGGTTTGTCGACAAATCTAGGTTTATGAGCTTCATATGACGCGTTTCGATGCGTTTCAGACCAAGGTTTAGACAAACCTTTGTCTGAAACGCGTCATATGACGCACATAAACATAGGTTTGTCTTCAAACCTCCTTTGTGAATTCGGGCATTTGTATTTGTGTCCTTCCCTGGCTTTTCACACGACACATTTTTTCCCAATGTCTTTTGCGAGATGCCCCACATTCTGAGAATTTATTCTCTTGGACACAGCTAGAGCGTTCTGCAATTGAAAGCGAAATGTGCGAGTAAGGGGCGGCGATCCCGTGGGAAGGACGGGGTACACGTCTTCCCTCAATTTTCTTAGGGGGATCGTCCCCCATGGATAATTTGAAAAAGTGCACACCAACAAAATGTATAGCAAATACTGACTAAAGACTGCAACACACTTTAAGGCTCTGGTGGGCCCAAGAGTACAGCGTTTAGACTAATAGAAATGCTAAAATCTTCTCGCTCGGTCGCTACGCTCCTTCGCATAATATCCTAAAAATATGCAAGTAAATATTATAGAAAATATGTATTCTGTTGGTATCACGTATGTACAGTTTACACTGTATGTTAACAAGATTAAAAGTTATAGAAATAGATCAGTGTTCCAAAAATGAATATTCAGCTTGCTCTTTTAAGAAGTCCCTTCCTGCTCAGTACTTACTAAAATTTACCTAGTAAATATTTACAAACCTTCGGACTGCACACTAGATATCGGCAAAGTAAAAGTGAAGCGTGAAAAAAGTATATTGCTTGTTTTTATGCTGTAGTTTTGCTAAAGAATGTAATGTTGTAACACAACAAAACTTCAAAACCTGTGAGGGGTTTACATATAAGACTTATCATACAGCTTTATGGGGGTAGTCCCTTCCGTCGCCTCCGCCTCTTTCACTGGCGTACTGATGGGGGGGGGGGCAGTAACCTCCCCCAATACAATTTAAACATGGGTTATTTTTAATTTGATACCAGTGATTTACAAGTATTGCTAAAATGGCAGTATTTTTCCATGAGCTCCCGGGGGCTCTACCCCCTGGAACCCACCAAGGGCCCTAAGGCGGGCCCATTTTGAGTCTGGCCGTAATTAATGCCTAAAGTCCTTGAGCTTTCGGGGGCTCTGCCCTCTGGACTCCACCAAGGGGCCTAAGGTGGGTCTCTAGATGCGTAATTTGGTGCCTAAAAGCCCTGACCTCTTCTCTTCCGTTATGTATTTCTTTGCTTTCTTTCTCCATATCCTCTGCACTCTCCTTATGTATTTTTTTGTTTTCCCTTTTCTATTACCTTCCCTTTCCTGGGTATACGCGCTTGCACATGTACTATATATGGCTAAACAGTTGTGTAAAAAAAAATATGCGCGAACGGTCAAGGAGTAAGAAGAAGGCAAAAAGAGAACAAAGACGGCATCCATGGAAGCCATGTGAGAGTGTCCACTTTTTTCGTTTTTACTTTTACCCTTGCATTCTTTCCTGAATCAGAGTTTTCTCATACCTTGTAGACTCGTGAAGGTTATGATCTTGTGTGTGTGTGTGTGTGTGTGTGTGCGTGTGCGTGTGCGTGTGTGTGCCGTGTGTGTGCGCGTGTAACGAAATAACGTATACAATAGCTTGGCAATTCTCATGGTTATGAGATACAATGTGAAAGGAAATGAGAGAATAATGATCGCGTAGCTTAAATCAAAGTTCCCCATTGCAGTCCTCTCTTTTTGAATATTATTGCATTTTGTTTTTGTAAGAGGTGTAGCGCCAGAAGAAAGAAGAGGAAGAAGAAAAGAAACGGGTGAAGAAGGAGATCGGGGGGAGGCGAAAGGGCCTTGCCTCCCAGGTTGTTGCACCCCCCCCCCCCCCCTCCAATAAAAAAAATAAGAGAGAAGGAAGGAAAGGGAAAGGGTAAGAGGAGATAAAGGGAAGGAAAAAGAGGAAGAAGAAAAGAAAAGAAAGGGGATATCATTTGCAATTTTCCCGCCGTTGGATCGAGGAGGGGCAAAAGGCCCTTACCTCCCCCCGCCCCCGCTATAACAAAGAGAGAAAGAAGGAAAAGGGAAAGAGGAGAGCTAAAAGGGAACAAAAAAGAGGAAGAAGAAAAGAAAGAAAAGGGTGAACAGAACGGGAGATCAGTTCCGGTTAATCCCGCCATCAACGTGTGGATGGGGGTGGGGGCCGAAAGGCCCTTGCCCCCCCCCCCCTCTGCAAACCTTAAGGAGGAGAGAAAGGGAAAGAAGAAAAAAAGAGAAAGAAGAAAGGGGGCACTGGCGTACTGATAGGGGGGGGGGATTCAAATTCAAACGTGGTTTATTTCTAATTCCATAACGGTGGCTTACAAATAATGCTGAATTCTTTCCTAGATTTTTCCTTTAGTAAATTATACTTTTGTATACGTTTGTTGGAAAATGTCAAATTCCTTAATTTACAGCCAGGCAAGAAATTTGATTCTTGAGAAAAGTTAGGGCCCGGGGATCGGCTGGAATCGCAAGCGTCGAGCTCCCCCCCCCCCCCCCCCCCAATAAAAAAAAAAAATTTTGTTGAAAAGGTATAGTAAAGAGAAATAGAAATAAAGAGAGCAAGAAAGAAAGAATAGTTAACTAGCTGCTCATCTGACCAAAATTAAACGCCTAAAATACCCTGAACTTCCAGGGTTCTGTCCCCTGTAGCCTGCCTAGGGCCCTAAACTCCCCTGGATGCTAATCTGACGGAAATGTAATGCTAAAACCCCTGTTTTTCTGGGGGCTTCGCCCGCTGGACCTCACGCCAATTAGTATCCTGCCAGTGTCACAAATAAGGTATAAAAATATGTTCATCTGACCGTAATCAAATGCCTAAAACCCCTGAGCTTCCCGGGTCAGACAAGGTATCAAAATTTGTTTATCTGACCGCAGGCGCGTAGCCAGAGGGGGGGGGGGGGGGTAGAAAAAAAGAGAGAGGAGAGGAAAGGAAGAGGACGTAGGGAGGAAAAGGAGCAGACAAAAACATCTTTGAAATTCAGACAAGAATTAAGAGAACGGTGCAACGAATCGTCTTCTATCTCTAATAATTTAATGAAACGTCAAAGCTTCCGCGCTT